GCCTCAATTAGATGCACTTTTGTCCTCAAACTGATGTCATTACTCCTCAATGATATGGAGAGGTCCCTAACTGCAGATTTCCCCAGTGCAATGCATGTCCTTATTTCCTGACTGCTGGTATCAAGGGTGTTAATTGTGGATCCAAGCAAGATGAGGCTGTTGACAGTTTCAATCTCTTCTCCCTCCATCCATTATGATGCCGCCTATTGGTAGAGTGGCATCAAGATTCTTTGTTTTCTTGATATTGTGATGCAATCCATACTGAAGGCTGCATTCCTTGATCTTCAACAAGTGCTTAAAATCTTCCTCATTTTTAGCAAGAAAGGTTGTGTCATCTGTATAACACAGGTTACTGATGAGTCTCCCTCCAATCTTGATGCCACACTCCTCCTCCTAGAATCCAGCTTTTCAGATAATTTGCTCAGTATACAGATTGAATAGGTATGGAGAGTGAATACAACCCTGACACATCCCTTATCAATTTTTTAAAATTTTTTTCACTATTTTATTTACAAAATTCTAATACATTGTTTTCAAGAACAAATTTTTTCTATTTCCCTCACCCCCCCGTCAAATTGTACAACTCCACGATTAATGCCCCCCTTCCCCTGCACATCCCCATCCTTCTGCTTCCACCCTCTCCCAACCTTCTTGGATCCTTATACTCATTTTACAGTAATGGTTTTATACATATTTATCCTTGTCTGACTGAGTTAGTTCAGTAAGCCTAATGCTCTCCAGTCCCTCCCAAGTTAGGTAATAATTTACAAAATCATTGCTCTTACATGCTGCATAATATTCCATTGTGTGAATGTACCATAATTTCTCAATCTGTTTGTTTGTAGTTGAACATTTGGGCTATTTCCTGCTCTATTCGTACAACAGAGTCCTGATCCAGGTATAGGTTCCCCTGAGCACAATCAAGTGCTCAGGAATTCCCATTCTTCTCAATGTCAGCCACAGATTGTTATGATCCACATGTTAAAATAGCTTTGCATAGTCACATAGTAAATCATAAGTACATACTCTTTTGGTATTCTTTACTTTTAGCCAGGATCCATTTGACATCAGCAACGATATCCCTGGTACCATGGCTTCTTCTAAATCCTCCTTGAACTTCTGGCAATTCCCTATCTATATACTGTTTTAGTCATTTTTTAATGATCTTCAGCAGTATTTTGCTTGCATGTGATATTAATGATATTGTTCGATAGTTTCCACATTCAGTTGTATCATCTTTCTTGGGAATGGGAACAAATATAGACCTCTTCCAATCTGTTGGCCAGACAGCTATCCTCCAAATTTCCTGGCATAGACTGGTGAGCACATCCAAGGCTGCATCTGTTAATTGAAATAAGTCAGTTGGTATCCCATCGATTCCTGGGGCCTTATTTTGTGCCAATCTCCTCAATGCAGCTTCTCCTTCCTCCTTCATTACTTTTGGCTCCTGTTCATATGGTACTTCCTGAAATTTTTCAGTGTAATCAATTATCTGTACATTCCCTCCATTTTCTTTTGATGCCTTTTGGGTCATTCAGTAGATTTCCCATAGCATCTTTCATTATTGCAATACAAGGCTGAAGTTTGTTTTTAAGTTCTTTCAATATATAGTGCATATATGAGAAGCAAAATCTCTACTTTCTAATATAAAAGTAAGGTCTTTGGCTCATACAAACAGTTTGAGCCTGAGTGCTTGTCTAAAGTTTGACAATTTGACAACCAACCACCCCCCAACCCTGTGCCCAGTTATGCTGCACAGAAAAGGGCTGGCAGTCTACTTCTGTAAATATTATAGCTAAGAAAACCCTGTGGATCAGTTCTCTTCATAGTGCTGCTACGAGCTGGGGCTGGCAACAGATTTAGTTTTTGTTTTGTTTTATCTAAAATTCACTTGAAAACTTCCTGCCACCTAGTCAGTCCCAGCTTGTAGCTGACCCTCCATGGGGTTTCTGAGGCTGTAAATTGTAAAGGAAGAGATTGCCCATTTCCTCCCTTAACGTGACTGGTGGATTTGAATAGAGAGGCTTGGCCCTTGGATTAGCAGCACAACTCCCTATGGACTTCATTTTGACTGGCATGCAGATTCTTCCTACAAACCCAAAGACTGTGGGGGAAATTCTGGAAGGAAAGTCGTTTAGATTGTCTCAAGAGAAAGAAAGGGTCTGGGAAGGCCCATGAGGACTGACCCTCCAAAAAAATGTCTGGGTGTGGGAATGGAGACTCTCCGGAATCCCTCACCTGCTTGGGGCTGACAGAGGAAATTGTTTTAACATGATTGAGAGACTACAGAGCTTTCTTGGAGGTGAGAAGTGAGGGGGATTTGTGTGTGGTCTTTACCATGTCAAACCATCATGGCAGGATGGCAGAGGACTGTCCCCAAGTGAAGGACCCAGTCCCTGAGGAAAGCCCAGGTCAGGGACCAAAGCCCACTGTCAGCATGGCTAATTTCAGAGTCTACAGGCACCTGTACACAGGTCGATATGAAATCCTACGCCTGAAGCCACAGTGAAGAGCCAGGCTCTGTGAGCAAGAGGAGCAGTGGGGTGTGCGCATTGCCTGCCCCGGTCACCTGGGAAAGTATGCAGTGGTGGAAGCCCAAAGCCGGCAGCACCTCTCATTCACTGCAAACCTGTAGTACTGCATTCTCAGCAGGGGAGGATTAATAACAAAGGCCAGACACGAAACCCCCTACCCCCACCCCCAAACAGGCTCTGTGGTCTCTCAATCATCTTCAGAATCCCCCTTGCTGTCAGCCTCAAGCATTCTCCCCAGTTGCCCTCCTGCCCTGCCTTCGGCTCCCTGCCTCAGCAGTTCTGCTCCCCCAGCTTTCGTCATCCTGGTGATGAGAACGAGAAGAACCACATTTTAAAATAATGTCTTTTTCTTTCCCCAGGCCCCCAGTTCATATTTCTCTCTCTCGGGAGTCTGGGGACGCTTCTGTCTGGTATCGGCCTCATCTCTCACTTTGAGGGCCCCCTTTCCCCACAGGGTGGTTCCCGCCCCTCCTCAGGTGTGTGGTGAACCAGCACGTTCCTGCCCTTCCCCCCAGGGCCACAGCCGCCCGGGCTCCTGGGTGGTATGTTGTGTGATGGCTCATGAAATTGCTCCAGCTTTCCCTGGTTTTGTCCTTCCCAGTCAGATATTTGTATGTCAGGTCAGGGGAGTAAGTTAAAGAATAACTAAGAGATAAACAATCAGAGGTCTTGGCTCTCAGGTCAAGGCAATAAGTCTTTACTGGATGCCTCTTGACATTCCATGGACTTTTATCTAAGCCCTACCTCCATGTAAAACAGCCTCGATGGCGTAGTAGGTTAAGTGTTGAGCTGCTAACCAAAAAGTTTGGTAGTTCGAATCCACCAGACGCTCTGTGAGAGAAGGATGAGACTGTCCCTTCCTGTTAAGATTTATAGTTCAGTGCCATCAAGTCAAGTACAACCCAAAGCAACCCTAGAAAAAGAACTAGAACCCTAGAAGAGAAAAGAACTCTGTCCTTTCCTGTGCCATCCTCACACTTCCTGACACAGTAGAGCCCAATGTGGCAGTCACTGTGTCAATCCACCTGGTTGAGGATTTTTCTCTCCTTCTTATGTGAAATGCTGTGATGCTGAACCCAACGTTAGAGACATCATTCATGCCAAAGAGGTTGCTGTACGCTGGAACTTCAGGACTGGTCCTCATGTCCCGTCTTCATGGTCAGTCCTGTGGGCTGGTCATCTGTCCTCCAAGAGGAAATGTGCGACAAAGTCCAAGTGACCAGCCACTGAAAATGGACAGAATGGATTAGGGTGTTAGGATTGGGAAGAAACGGGGGCATTTGCTAACACATGTTAGTTAAAGAAGACCAGAGAGATAAGCTGTCAGCCAGACATTGGGGATGTTGGGACACAGAGATAAGCAACTTAAGCCTTTCGCCTAAAGTTGACATAACTTACAAGAATCTGAGCCTGTAAGCCTTTTATCTGGCTGACTAGTCAATGAGAGTTGGCCTCAGAGGCAGAAAAAGGAGGTGGTCCCTTGGAAGAGTAAGAGTAATATTAATGCAATCAGAGGAAGATTCACTAAGTGTTTGCTATATTTTAGTTCTGGGAGCTTTATATTTGTCATCTTGTATCACCCCCACCACAATCCTATACAGTGGACATAGAAAGTGAGAACACAGAAGTTTGATAATTTGTCCCAAAGTCACCTTCACTGTTGGGAGACCTTCATGTTTCCCTACAAAGCAATTCCTGCTTCTGGCACTTTGGCACTGAGCTGGAGAGAATGTGGCCTCACTGTCCTGCATGGGCCTGAGGAATCAAGTCCAGGCAGTAGGCCTTCTCTTCTTTCTCAATTGAAGATTTTCCTGATAAAAATATCCTGTCTCTTTGTTCTTGCCAGTGCTTTATGCTTGGGCCTGAGCTGAAGTGACAGAAATGCCAACGAGTCCTTGCCGAAAGGCATCCACAGAGTGGGCAGAGCACATAACTCTTCAATCCCAGATCTGGCACTATTGATATTTGAACTGGGGAATGCTCTGTTGGGGCTGCATATGCCTCATCTCTTACACAGTCTCCCTTACACATCCTATGCATCTTAGGATGTTTGGAAGCATCATTTGTCTCTAGTCACTTGTGACAACCGCTAACACCACTCCACTTATAACATCCAAAATGCAAATTTGTCACACACTCCTTGGGAGTCATTATCTCCCCTTTCTGACCCCTCTCCACCGGATAAGGGCTGTTGTCCTCAACAGACCCCGCAGAGCATCTGATGTGCTTCTCAAGCTAGCTTTTTTCACCTCTGTGTCTTCTTACTACAACTTGTTCATCTGTTCAGCAGCAAATATCACTGCTGTGACCGCTGTTTCCTCACAGGAGACCTGACCTCCAGGTGCTCCCAGGGAACCCAAGAACGTGTCTGATTGTCAAGTTAGAAAGGTTTCCAATCTTTCCAACAGTTTCATTTGTGTGACCCAGCTGCCTTTCCACAACTTGCTATCTCTCATTCACATACAGGACGAGGGATACGAATCCGGGATATCCTGAAGGATGAAGAAAGACTGGCCATATTTCTCATGAAAAGCATTGGCCTGTCTGATTCTGTTGTGGAACTTCTGATCAACGCCCAGGTCCGTCCAGAGCAGGTAGGTGGCCTCTCTGTGGCTCTGAATGAAGATGGCTGGTTATGAGTACTGTGTCTGAGAGGCAAGAGGACCTTAATTTGCTTTCCTTCTCAGTATCATATTCAGAATCCACGATCCCTGTCACACGCTCTGAAAAACACCCTAGAGTTTATGATGTGGATGGTGATAATTCACATAAGATGCTGATACAGTACAAGTCCCAGTAACACTTTAAAGATCTGAGTTTAATCATTGAAGGAAGCTTTAGAGACCTTGTGATTCTACCTTCTCTTTTTAGAGTTGAGGAAATCAACATTTATCTACTTACTGATAAAATATTTAGAGGCTGTTTGTTGTAGGTTCCAGTGGGCCTTGGTGGTGTAACTGATCTGCAGCTTGTCAGCTCAAGCACATCCAGTGGCTACATGGAATAAAAGGCCTGGTGAACCACTTCTGTAAAGAAAACACTCAAGAGTAGTACGTCCTGCATGTGTGGGGAAGCAGCAGCTAACAGCGGTAACTGCATGCTAGCAGACACTATGAACAGTGTCCAAGTGCTCTAAGTCAGGAAGCTAACATTCCAGTGTGGAGCTATGAATGGTCAAGTAAACAAGTGGACATGGGAATTCATAATGTGGTCTGGGTTGTGATAAATGCTGTGAGGGAAAATCCAGCAGCATTAGACGTGAGAGCAAGACTGGAGGAACACAGAGCAGTTTTGCCTGGAATACAAGACGGTATTTAAAGCAGATCCTACTTGAGAGAAGGCAGCCTTGCAAATAACTGAGAGCAAAATGCTTGGAAAAGGGGCGAGTCAGCAAAAGAGAGGAAGATTCTCAACAAGATAGACACAGCAACTACAGCAGTGAGCTCAAGCGTGTCAGAGACGATGAGGATGGCACAGGATAGGACAGGGTTCAGCTCTGTCGTTCTTAGGGTTGCTATGAGCCATACTCGACTCGATGGCACCTAACAACAACACAACCACTCTCTAGTAGGTACCAGCTCAGAGCAACCCTCCCTCAGTGTTCAAGACTGAATCTTATAGGAAGAAAAATGTCTTTCTCTCAAGGAGCACCTGGTGGATTCAAACCATTGACTTTTCAGTTAATATCACAACACACATGAGAGCTCCTTAACCAACTGAAAAACCTGAGTGTGCAGAGGAATCACTAAGAGTTAGGGAACATGATCCTGATCATGGCAACCTGCAAATCCCCGCTTTTCTGGGCTCTTTCTCCTTTGCTGGACAAGCTCCTGTCTCCTGGGTCCATTTCTCACACATGTGCATGGAGTCAATTCCAACTCATAGCAACTACATTCGGACACAGTAGAACCATCTGTTAAGGTTTTCCCAGCTGTAACCTTTATAGGCACAGATTACCAAGGCTTTGCTCCCACGAGGATGGCTAGTGCTTTTGAACTGCCGCAATTTCAGTTAGCACCTCTGGTACTTTAGTTGTTTTACCACCAGGATACCTTCATTTCTTTATTTTATCTCCTCAAAATCTGTTTCACTCATTTGAATTGTTGTTAGGTGCTGTCAAGAGCAACCCTGTGAACAGCAGGTTGAAACCTTGTCCTGTCCTGTACCGGCCTCAAGGTCTTCACCATGCTTACACCCATTGTTGTCACTGTGCCAATCCATCTCATTGAAGATCTTCCTCTCTCTCACTGACCACCTACTTCTCCAAGCACGATGTCTTTTTCTAAAGACGAGCCCCTCCCGATAGCATACCCAAAGTATGTGAGATGAAGTTTCAGCATCCTTGCCTCCTAACAGCACCCTGCTTGCACTTCCTCCAGGAAAGAATTATTTGGTTTTTTGACAGTCTTAGGAAGGAGGGAGCTCTCGTGGCCTGGTGGTAAAGAACTGTGCTGCCAACCCAAAGGCAGACAGTTCAAATATACCACTTACTTGCCAGGGGAAAGATGAAGAAGCTCCTCCTATGTAATTTACAGCTTCTGAAAACTTGCTGGAGGGTCAGCTATGAGTCGATTCCAACTCGATAGCACATATAAAAACAGAATATAAATCAATTCAGATGTACGGTATCCTTAGCGATGTTCTTGAGCATGCTAACATCGTGAAGATGGTACAGGACTGAGCAACTTTTATTCTGGTCTAACATGAGGTCGCTATAAGGTGACTCAAGAGCAGTAGAGATACAAACTACCAGAGCCAATTCCAATCAGTGTTTCTCTTCCTCAGTTAATGTTTCTTATTCTAGTGTAGTGGTTCTCGAAGCCTTGAGACCAACATCAACTGGGGACTAGTTAGCAATACTAGTTAGCTCAGAACGACTAACTGAGAGCCCCCAGGCTGACACCAAGCAGTCGGTATCTCAGCCGCCCTCGAGGGAATCCTGACAGTCACTCAGATGTCAGAGTCACTGCTCCAGTGTGAGCTCATGGTATGATGAACCCAGTGGGAATATGAAAGGATCAGGAGATGTAGACCAGACCCCTGGATTCTGCTTCCACCCCGGTCTGCACGCACTTCAGACTCCAGGAGAGTCTGGGACGTCAACAGAATTTCAGGGCCTGTGTCAGTCCTGAGATAAAGGTCAGCTTGCTGTCTGCGCAGAGCGAAGAGCGAGGACCCCACCTGCCTGGCTGGGACTAACTCCACAGAGAGGTGGCTCCTGAACAGCTGGGAGGACGCTTTCCTGGCTTCTCAGATCCTGAGGTTTTCTCTGAAATGAGAAGAACTGGGGTCAGTCCTGAGGAGACAAGCAGGGTGCTGGGAAGATGACACTGTGGTGCCAGGCCTTGGCGGCCTGTGTCCGGGTGAGGGCCTTGGAGCCTGGTCGGCCCGACCACTCCTGTCCCAGCCTCATCTAAATGGAGGGGATGCCACGGTACTGATTGTTCATTTTCCCTTTGCCTGTTCTTCAGCTCATAAAACACAGGTCCTGGAAATGCCTGTGACAACTTCCAGTTAGCCATAAAACTGAGATGGAGATAAAGGCAGGAATTTAGGGGAAATTTCTCTGCAGGCCTCTCTGAGGTGAAATTGGAATCACCAGTTGCTGTGCTTCTGGCATCAGAGCTGAGGCCTTTCATGAGGGCAGAACCAGCGCCACGTCCCTGGGTTGTGCCTTTGTTTAGTATTGCTGGCTCCGTTCAGCTGAGGCTGCCTGATAGCAAGCTCTGGATGGAGTTTAACAGGGAGCGGGGGCTTCCTGCTCTTTGCATAGCCTTTGTGGGATCCAGGTTCCCCAGCGCCTCCAGTCTGGCTTCTTGACCTGTTACTTTGAGTGACCACCTCTTTCCAAGCTCCAGCTCTTTGTCTCGGTCTCCTGATCCCCTTCTCAGTCCCCAGCTGTTCTGTGAGTCCTTACCCGCCCTGTCCACTGGAACTTCTAACACTGTGGCAATGGCCTCTCTCTGTGTTGGCCAATATGAGCATGTGGCTCGTGGACACTTGAAATAGAACTAGTGTGACTAAATAACTGAATTTTACATTATATTTCCTTTTAAAAACTCTCCAACTCACTGATACTGTCAGTTCTGGCTCATAGCTACTTTCCCTTGGATTTATGAGGCTGTAAATCCTAACAAGAGCAGATGACCTGTCTTCCTCCCTCAGAGCAGCTGGTGGATTTGAACTCCCAGAGTCACAGCCTTTTGGTTAACAGACCACACCTGACATAAATGGGAATAGTCACATAAGACTGTGGCTCTAGTGGATCCTGCTCATCAAATGTGGAATAGTTCCCTTTACCACCAGGATCCCCTCCCACCACTTTCTGCCCAGGGACTTGCATAGCTCCCAGGGGTAGCATGGCATCCCCTGGCCCACTTTAGGAAATTATTAGATGATGAGTGTACAATTCTTTGGCCAATTCTTTGCTCTTCCCCTTAACACTGTAAACTCAGAGGCATGCCTCAAAGCTCAGTTATCTCCTCCTTGGTGAAATTGTTCCTAAACCCTTCTTTCCACCCTTTCCTTCTTCCTTACTTGCCAAAGAGCTAACTAGAAATGATTAAACATAAGCTTTAGATTTTAGTCTAAGCAGGGCAGGACACCTAATCTTTGTGACCCCTAAGGTCACAAGTTAACCATTATGCCTCTGTATCCTCGTGTGTAAAATAGAGATCATGAAAGCGCCTTCCTTATATGGATGTTGTGAAGATTAAAAGAATGAATATATCTAAAGCACTGAGAATGGAACCTGTTGTAGTTGGGGACTACACGTTGTTACTCCGAGCTGACCCTCCAGCAAGTTTCCAGAGGCAGGAGATTGCAGAAGAGGACATTACCCAACTTTTCCCCGTGAAACAGCTGGTGGATTTGAGCCATGTGCCTTTGGGTTAGCTGTGCGTCTCCTTACCATTGAGCCACCAGAACTGCCTGAATGCAGCCTGGCACGTAGTAAATAATAAATATTGACTGTTTTCCTTAGCTGTTCTTCACACTCTCACTTCAGTCTTTCACCATATTCCATCAGGCACTTAGAGATGTAACATTCATGCTGCCTGTAAGAATTGCAAGGGGTGGGGGAAATATAAGATGTCCAGTTAAATTAGAATTTCAGAAAAAAATTATTTTTAGTATAATTATGTCCTGTTGGGACTTTATTTAGGAATATGCTTATACTAAAAAAAGAAAAAAATATTTTTCATTGATTGCCTGAAACTCTAATTTAACTTCAAACCTGGTATTTTCACTGGCTAAATCTGGAAACCTTAGAGAGGATGAGAAAGGAGAGAGGGAATTGGTCACTTACCATCACTACAAATATATCCAAGTCACCTCCTCCCTAATCCCCAGATTTCTTGTCCTCAACTTCTGAGAGTAGGCGCTATTAATCAAAATGGTAAGAAGGAAGCTTTTCCAAATGTTAAACGTAAAATGATACTTGGACAGTGAGTATATTAGCTTCTTGTGTGGCTATAACAAACTGCACAAGCTTAGTGGTTTAAAACAATTTAAATGTATTGTCTTAAGAGTTCTGTAAAGGAGTCCTAGTAGCACATTGTTAAGTGCTTGGCTGCTAGCCAAAAGGCAGGTGATTCGCTACATGGGAGAGATGGAGCAGTCTATTTCTGTAAAGATTACAGACTTGGAAACTGCACTAGGAAACTCTACTATGTCCTGTGGGTTTCTGTGACTCATACTAGAGAACTGACTCAATGGTAAAACTTTGGTTTGACTGTCATGCTACAGAAGTCTGAAGCCAAGGTGGTTTTTGTTTGGAGGCTCTGAAAATATCTTATCTTACCTTTTCCAAAGTTTGTCTGCAGCAACAGGTGGTCACGTCACTCTCATTGCACCTTGATATATTTTCTCTTCTGCCTCTTCTTTCACATTTAAGGGCCTTTGTGATTATACTAGGACTTCCCAGTTGTTGTTGTTGTTATGTGCCGTCGAGTCGCTTGCGACTCATAGCGACCCTATGTACAACAGCCCTAAACCCTGCTCTATCCTGTGCCAATCACACTGTCTCTGACACATCCATCCCGATTACCCCAGTCACTGAATCAATCCACCTTATAGAGGGTCTTCCCCTCCTGTGCTGTCCCTCCACTCTGCCCAGCATGATGTCCCTCTCCAAAGACCTGTCTCTCCTTACAGCATGTCCAAAGTATGTCAGGCGACATACTTTGGACATGTTGTAAGAATCCAAAATAATCACATTCTTCTAAAGTCAGCTGATTAGCAATTTTAATTATATCTGAAATCTCACTTCCCCTGTGTCATGTAACAAAACACCCTCACAGGTTCAGTGGAGAATGGGACGTTTTGGGGGACGAGGCATGTTCCTCTAGCCCAGATAGGCACACAATGTTGGTTCTCCTCCTTGCAGTTTGCCCATGGAGTCCCAGATCTGATGCTAAAGGACATCGCCTGCAGCAGGGCCCTCCTGGAGCGCTTCATCATCTTCAGCCAGCGTGGTGGGGCACAGACGGTGCGTGATGCCCTGTGCTCCTTGTCCCAGGGAACCCTACAGTGGATAGAAGATACTCTGTATTCCAACGTGGACTTCTTCAAGCTCTTCCGTGTGGTAAGGGGATATTTAGCTGCTCATACTTAGTAGGTTGTTCCTGAGAGTAGAGGGTCTATTGTCAGACTGTCACGGATGCCCAGATTGAGCAGCATATGAGCCTGATGTTCAGGACAATTCATGGGTCAGTGGTGATTAATGTTTTTAAGACACATGTGAACAGAGGAACGTATGAAGTGCAGTGTATATAAACAAAACACAAGGTATACAAATTTTGTATTCAAATCAATATAAAAGAAAAATAATTTATAAAAATAATTTAAAAAAAAAGAAAGACATTCCAGAATTTCAAAAGTGGTCCGAGAACTCAGGGTCACCACTAGGTTTACCATTAAGCAGGTGGTTGTGCAAAATTATAAGGCAGACTAGAGGAAAAAAGGGGCTTGGGTTTGATACTGGAGGAGATATTTAACCTTCTCAAGCCAAATACAGAGACTCATGTAGAATGATGTGTTACGTGTTTCACTGCAAACCAAAAGGTCAGCAGATTAAATCTACCAGCCCCTGTGAAGGAGAAAGATGGACAGTCTCTGCTCATGAACATTTACTGCCTCACACAAACAGAGACTTGTACACCAATGTTCACAGCAGCATTATTCACCATAGCAAGAACATGGAAACAGCGTAAATACCCAACTACAAGGAAATGAATTGAAAGATTATGATGCATTCACACAGTGGAATACTATGCAGCACCAAGGAGCAGTGATTTTGTAAAACTGTCTAACATGGGAGGGACTGAAGAGCATTATGCCAAGTGAACTAATTTAGTCTCATAAAGATAAATACTGTATAAGACAATTATTGTAGAACAAATATGAGGATATGGGGGGCTTCATCATAGGGTCACACAATTTGATGGGTGGAGGGAGGGAGGGGAAATGAAAGGGGAAAGATCGAGTGTGAAGAACAATATATAAGAACGTTATGAACTTTGTAAATAAACCAATATGAATTTTTTAAAGAGATATAAAAAATATTTACCACCTCAGAAACCTGAGGAAAGGCTATATTTGAGGAAGAATTAACTTTATGGCAGTGAGTTTGGTTTTCAGTTGTGAAAAACCATTCTGTCATCATCATCAGTTATTGCCATGGAGTCAGAACTGACTCAGAGCTGACCCTCCAGCAGTTTTTGCAGAGCCTGTAGATCACAGGTGAGGAGATTGTCCATCTTTCTTCCACAGAGCTGCAGTGAATTTTAACCACCAGAAAAGCACCACCTTTGGGTTAGCAGTACAGCATTCTACTTACTACATTGCTTTTTTTGTTTGGCTTTTTTGTTGTTTTTTGTTTTTGTTTTGTTCTGGAAGCACTTTATTTATGGATTTAATGGTTAAATGTATTTCCACATTGAAAGCATTTAAAAATTCTCCCCCACCACCGCCCACCTTTCCCTAGTCTCCAGTCCACTTTACTATGCATCTTTTATTTTGGACTGCATATAATATTTATTCTGCCATGCATATATATAATACCTAATTGTGTATTCCTTTTAAATAGTTCTTTCCCTCATCTGTTTCAATGCAGTGTACATTAGTTACCCTTACTTTTCTTAGTTGCCTCCCAACCCCCATGTCAGTCCTGTTTTATAACAGTGGCATTATGCAATATTTGTCCCTTTGTAACTGAGATACTTCACTCAGCATAATGTCCTCCAGGATCACCCATATTGTATAATATTTCATTAGTTCCTTGCTTTTCAGTGCTGCATAGTATTCCATTATATGAATATATATTGAGAACCACAGCTTCTCAATCCATTCGTTTGTTGATGGGTACTTCAGTTGTTTCCATCTCTTTGCTATTATGAACAATGCAGCACTAAACATAGGCATGCATGTATCTGTCTGGGTGGCAATTCTGGTTTCTTTAGGGTTCATTTTTAGTAGTGAGATTCCTGGGTCAAATGATATTTGTATTTCCAGCTTTTTGAGAAAACTCCATACTGCCTTCCATTTTACACTCTCACCAACAGTGAATAAGGGTTCCAATTTCTCCACCACCTCGCCAGCATTTGTTGCTTGCTCTTCTGTTAAATTTTGCTATTCTTACTGGGGTGAGATGATATCTCATAGTTGTTTTAATTTGCATCTCTCTTAGAGCTAGGGATTTTGAACATTTCTTCATGTGTTTGTTTGCCACCCGAATGTCTTCTTTGGTGAAGTGTCTGTTCATTTCCTGTGCCAATTTTGTGATTGGGTTGTTTACCTTTATCTTGTTGAGGTGCTGGAGTATTCTATATGTTCTTGGTATAAGTCCCTTATCAGAAATATAGTTACCAAATATTTTTTTTCCCAGTCTATGGCTTCCCTTTTTATCCTGTTGGAGAAGTTTTTGGATGTGCATAGGGATTTGATTGTTAGAAGATCCCATTCATCTTTTATTTTCTCCTGGTTGTAGGTTTTTCAGGATGGTTGGAAGACTGTTCATGTTGTGGATTAGGGCTTCTAGAATTCTTCCAAGCTTTTCTCTGATGAAGTTTATAGTCCTTGGTTTTAGTCCTAGGTTCTTGATTCACTTTGAGTTGGTTTTTGTGTATGGTGTGAGGTGTGGGGCTTGCTTGAGTTTTCTACAGATAGTCTTCCAATTTTGCCAACACCATTTGTTAAAGAGACTTTCATTTCCCCACTTAACTGATGTCATCTCCTTGTAAAAAAATCAGTTGAATATAGGCAAATGAGCTGATTTCTGGGTTCTCGATTCTATTCCATTGATCAGTGTGTCTATCACTGTACCGTACCACTTGGCTTCACTATCACAGCTGTGTAGTAGGATTTGAGATTAGGGAATGAGATGCTCCCTACCTTGTTTTTCTTTTCAGGAGTATATTGCTTATTTGGGGTTTCTTTCCATTCCAGATGAAATTGGAAATTGCCTTTTCCATCTTGTAGAAGAATGGAATTGGAGTATATATTGGGATTTCATTGAACTTGTGGATTGCCTTTGGTAGAATTGTCATTTTTCCAATACTGAATCTTCCTATCCAAGAACATGGTATATTCTTCCATTTCTCCAGGTCTCTTTGTTTCTGTTAGTAATGTTTTGTCATTTTTTCAGGAAGTCTTTTGTGTTTCCAGTTAGATGTACTCCCAAGTATGTAATCTTGTGGTTAGCTATTGTGATGGTTATTGTTTTTCTTAGCTCCATTTCTGTATTCTCTTTGTCACTGTTGAGAAATCCAGTTGATTTTTGTATGTTGATCTTGTATCCTGCCACTTTGTTGACTTGGCCAACTATGTCCAGTAGTTTTCTTGCTGAGTCTTTAGGGTTTTCTAAGTATACTATCATATCATCTGCATAAAGAGATAATTTTTCTTCCTCTTTGCCAATTTAGATACCACTTATTTCCTTCTTTTGTCTTACTGCTCTTGCTAAGACTTCCAATATAATATTGAATAGGAGTGGTGATAGTGGGCATCCTTGCCTAATTCCTGTTCTCAAAGGGAATACCTTTTTTTTTTTAAATTATTAAATTTTATTAGTTTTAATGAACATTTACA